TGGCACAAGAGCCCCCAGGGCTGGAGAATCTGAGCTCTGGAAAGGAGACCAACCAGTAAAGGAGAGGGGCAGGCGCAGCTGGCAGGCAAACAATTCGGAGCCTTTTGCAGGTGGAAACGAGCTGCTCCCGACCCCCAGAGAGGAGGGAGGCCTTGCAATGCACTTGCTGCAGACCCTTCAGGAGAGTAAAAGGAGACCCTCTGGAGCAGAGGGTCGGGGTTAGAAGCAGGTGGTCCCAGCCCTCCCTTCCAGGTGCCCGGACCCTCCTCGCCAGGGAGCAGGAAAACCAGCTTCCCAGGAAGAAGACGGCTCTCCCAAGGGATGGAGGGCAAATTCGGCGGGCGTCCCCAAAGGCAGCCAAGGGCTCAGCACCCTCCGAGCCGTTTGGCCTGGCAAAGGCGGCACGTTCTTGACTGAGTAGCAGCCCCGGAGGAGGAACCACAGCTGCCCCGCCAGCGTGAATAAGCAACGTGGGAGACACCTGGGAAGTCCTTGGCCAATTGCCAGCAGTTGGCTTGACACACACCCCCAGTGGGTTGCATGCAGCACATGCGTACCCAAGCGCCCCGGAGGGCCCGGGCACAAACCCTAACCCTAACCCTAATCGGGGGTCTTCTCTGGACGCCAAGGAAAAAGGGGACGGATCCAAGGAGAAGGGGAAGCAAAAGCCGCACGACGGGCAGTTACCATCTGAGCAGTCCTCGCACAAGAAGGCCCTCGTTCGACACTTTTGTAATGTCGTGCCACCACAAGCCGAATCAGAGCTCAGAACGCCCTTCTACAGATGGGCAGTGCGAGGGTTCACTGGCAGCTGGGTGCAAAGTTCGGAAACGTCCCTCTCACCCCAGCTGGAATGTGTCCCTCATCCAGGGCACGGCCGGGCCATCCCTGGATGAGGGGCAGACCTCCTAAAACGCCCACAAAACCACCTGGAGGAGCAAGAGAGTTGCCCCCCAAGACGTGAAACGGGCCCTGCGCGCAAGAGTTACAGAAATCAGTCTCCGCATTTCCAGGAGCTGCAGTGCCCCCAACCTCACAGACAGCTGAGTTCACATGAGCCGAGGGGCACAGCCTGACCCCCCCCCCGGGGGCCGCCGTAGCTGCTCCGGACAAGGACCTCGGCTGCCTCACCAGAGCGACCGCCAGGCAGATCTGCCAGAACCCAGGCCCATGCCCCGTCTGCAAGAAAACTCTGTGGAAACCTTAAAGACACAAGGACCCAGCAGCCACAGCCAGCTCCGGGCCAACGAGGGTCCGGCTCCCTGGCCCCCGAGCTGCTACAGCGGGGAAGCGAGCAGGCTGGCTGAGGGCCCGGCTCCAGCTTTTCAACCCACAAGGTCCTGGGCAGTCAGAGGGCCTGGGGAGACGACCCAGCCATGCATCCGCCAGAACAGGCCGGCATCGCCAGCCGGGGGGTGCTGCAAGAAAAGCCTGTCAGCTCTGCCGCCAGCCAGGGACTGGGCAGACGGAGCTCCCCACAGCCTCGGAGGCGACGCCGGCCAGAGGGCGTTGCGAGAGACGTGGTCCATGTCCGCCAGCCGAGGCAGAGGGACAGCCAGGGCCGCGGCACCCACAGCAGACAAGGAGGGATGGCAGGAGCGCAGCACCGTGTTCCCGGCCTCACCATGCGGGCCATCTCCGAGCCTGCCCAGGAGGGGAGGGAGGGGGAGGGGAGGGGCAGGTTCTTCCCTGGGCTTCAGAGCAAGAGGGGCCATCAGTCCCGGGTCTCTCTTGGCGCTTCCTTTGCGAGGAGGAGACCGCCAGCATCAGCCCTCATCCACCTTCACGTGCTGGATCGTGAAAGCTTCTCACGTACACCGAAACAGCCACGTGTGCTACCTTAAAAGGGCACTCTGTGGTGACACGACGACCATCCCCAAGAGCCAGACCCAGAGGCGCACCCCACGACAACACAGGGCAAGAGAGCTGGGCAACCTCTCCTGACTTACCGGCCGCCCGCACGTTCAGGCCCGCTTCTACTGCAGTCCTGGATGTGAACAGAGGACTGAATGGCCGGGCAGTGGGGCAGCGGGGGGCTCCCGCCGCACAGCAAGAAGCGAGCAGCGAGGGGTGGCTGAACATCTCCTCTGCGGGGCACAGACAGGCCGCCCCAAGAGGGCTCGGGGTGGGCTGCAGCCCCAGGCCCACGGCTTGCCAACAGCAACCAACTCGCCCAGGGGGCATAAGAGCCAAGGAGAAGCGCTCCCCGTTCTGTGGGCCAGCCCTGTGCCTCGGCCACCGAGGGGCGCTGCCACCCCGGTCTTTCCACACACGGCCCAAGGCCACGAGAAACAAAAGGTGGACCAAGACTGGCCCAACGGTGCTGGGGCAGCGCTGCTGGCAGCCCCCCAGGGTTGGTTCTCCATCCCGCCCTGGGCCGGCCCACGAGGGAGCACTCCTGCAGCAGGGACCCTACAGCAGGGACCCTACAGACTCCTCCTTAAGGGGCCACAGCGCGCCCAGCCCTCTTGGCAGTCCTCCACCCCAGGAGCAGCAGACTTGCCCCCTTCCCTTCCTCGGCCACTGGCTTTTCCCTGGCTGGGCAGACACCCACGGGGCACACCCCATCCCGCCCCAGCAGGAGCCCATTTGGGGGCTGACCAGTACCCCCTGCTGCCCACCAAGGTCACCTCCTGTCTCCGACGTGGAGAAGGCCTCCTCCAGGCACGCTGCCAGGACGAGAAGGCGGAAGCAGCTGCCAGGCTGCTCTTTGGACTCTGCCCTTTCCTGGAGCCTGGCGGGCACTGCCAGGAGCCCTGAGGTGGCAGCGGAGGCGGCCCAAGCCAGCAGAAACTGCCCCCTCCCCCACCCTGCCTTGCCTGGAGGCAAAGCCATGCAAAACGCCCACCCGGGATCAAGTTGAGCTGGGCATGGAGGCACGCACTTCCAGGCCCCGCAGGGACGCCCCAGCCAAAGCATTCTGCCCGGTGCGAGGAGGGATCAGGCCCTCGCGCAAGGACCGTCAGCTCCCCGACGGTGGCCAGACTCTCAGCAGCAGCCCCCGCAGGGCCCAGCAGAGCAGCCCCCGCAGCACGAAGCCCGTGCAGCCCACCCAAGCGCAGGACAGCCAGCGTGCCTCAGGGCCTTCCCGGCGAAGCAGGGGGGCCGGCCTTCCCCAGGCCCTCACAGCCCACCGGTGTAGCCTTGCCCTGAACCAGCGGCGGGGGGAGCGACTCGGGAGGTGCAGGAAGGGGCAGTGGGAGCCAGAAGCCGGCCTAGATGAGAAAGGGGGACCCTGTCTGGCATCAGCTCCCAGCCGGCAAGGCAACACTTGCGGCTTTCAACGTCAGCCTCCCTTCAATGGCCAGGAACGTCTTCCTGGCGGGGTCCGCTTCCCTTTTATTAGC